TACATACAAATATTCAGACGGATCATCTGTAATGTGCGAAATGTTAGATTTTTCATTTTTGCATAGATTGTTTTATGTTCACTGAGCTCAAAGCTGCAGTGCGATGTCGCAGCACTGCCAATATACTCATACTAAATCATAATAATGAGACTTTTCTGATTCTCTGTTTTCTTAATAAAGGCGGATCACTCGCTTGCAGTGCATCAGGCAACAACCAACAGTAAAATCAGCACATTGACCTCCATAATACCATCACTTATTCATTACCCTGTAGATGCCAGTTGGGCCTCAGGCTAACCGACTGTGATCACATACAGTACAATATGGATGGCAACCCCACATTTCACTGTCTTACCCTTCCCCCACCACTCTCCTCCACCTTCTCCAGTCCTCGTCACCGTCGCTAATCCTGATCCTTAAAGGGATCCGCCGCTTCCGTTTGGAGAGAAAATACTTTGTAGGTTACAGAAACGAGAACACAGGAAGAACAGAGTGAGCGTTAGCCTGTTCAGATTGATTAACATTCTCAGCCGGAGAATAATAAACAACCCCGCGGAGCTCGTATTTTTCTTTGTATCCTGTGTCGTTGATGGGAATAAGAATGGGCCGAGGTCTGGACGGTAGAAAAACGGAGCATTAGGTTTGATTTCACAATTTGAGGTTACGTTTTGGACAACTTTTGTTTTTATTTCCACATTACAATCAGAATGACACTGTCATAAATAGTGAGCATACTGTGAGAGATGCTGAGAGATCTTCCCTGTGATGGAGATTACTAGAGTGCACGCGGTCAAGTGTAAACCATCAGTCTTATCTCTTCTGCCCCACTCGGCTCTGTATCTGTATTTGTGCTTTAACAAATCGCCATGACCCGCTCTAATCTGGCAGGGCCACATTATACTGGACTATACCCTCTCTTGAGAGTCTCACTCAATCAGCCAGTCAGATTAACACTTTCTATCTCTTTCTTCTTGACTTCCTTTCTCAAATGCACGCACATGCAACGAGTCAGATGGGATCAGTCCCGTGAACAAGAGTAAGCAGCTGAGCAGATTCAATGGCAGGCAGCAAGAAACTCATTCCTTTATTTGCCAGGAAAAGACTGAACCAATGAAAGACTGCTAGAGGGTAACCAATCAGACTTCTCTGCAACAGCTGGCTCCAAAGAATCACAGGCAGAGGGGTGGAAAAAAGGAAAGGAGAGAAAGTCAGCAACTCCTGGAGGAGATTTTTTTCCAAGCTTTTCCTCCAATTCAACATATTCAGCGGCATGTCGGGCTTGGTGAAATAGGGGTTTTTCTTGCAGGCGCACAATCCTGTTTCAAGGAGCAAACAGATTGTGTGGTCTGAAAGCTGAGCCAGGCTTCAAACAGAAACACCACAGAGTGAAGGAGGCTACATCATTACCGCACAACTCAAAGCCAACCTTAGCTTTACTCACACAACTCCAAAAACACAGAGAAGAGACGATCACTGATGAGTCATTTTGCCTTACCCGAAGTCGTCCAGGGAATACATGTCGCAGGAGAAGCGGGCACAGTCCTCGAGCACGGGATGGAAGGAAGTATAAAAAAGGGAGATTATGGAGGAGAGGGGGAAATGTCAACCTTGAGAAGAGAGAGCAATACGCATGCTGTCCAACTCTGCTGCAGTCAACTCAGTCTTTCCCCTCTTCACATCCCTCTAAAAAAGTTTAAAAAAAAGAGAAAAAATCTACTACGCCAGCAAGGCAGTCATGAGCATGAGACACAGAGAGAGTAGGAGGGAAGGAGTGAGCGAGAGAGATGAGGAGTGTTGCAACAGAGTAAGGGAATGCAAAAGAGAGAGAGAACATGTGACCAGCGCAGACCAGTCACCTCCCTCTGCTTCGGGGACCGAGTCGTTGTCTTTCAACCTCCGAGGAATAATTTCCACTGGATGGAAATTACATGTTAGCCTGTATTGGAAACAGGAGCGCTTTTACACTCCCCTTTCTATACCGGAGCTTTAAATAGATTCTGCATGTCAGCCTTTTATCACTAATTAACTACAGAAGAGGAAACAACAGCAACAGTTCATTCATTCAGCTCAGATATCATAACGGACACAACATTCCCGTTCTCTCCAGGAACAACAGAGCGTAACGAGCAACAAAAGTTTCCCCGATGTGGTGTAATATTCGCGGCATCCCTGCGGCTTTTATCAGAATTCGCCCTCCAACGGCGGTCCATCTGGCAGGAGCAAACTTAAAGGCTTTTAAGCTTCTTTGCAGCAGTGAGCCGAGGTGTAGGAAACAAACAAAGAGCGATCCACTGAAAGATTAGGAAGATTTATGGATTTAAGAAAATAGCCAGAAACACACAACGGATCCGAGGTTCTAAAGTGGCACCCAGAAGGTCTGAGTTCATGTGCGTCCAGGATTAGTGACATTCGGCTGAGGCCTAAGCGAAAACTTTCAAGCAGACTTTGAACTCCACAACAAACAGAAAAAAAGTGTTAAAATGTTGTTACTGCAAGTAAATATACGGCCAGATACCAATACTGATACCAGAACTTTTAACCTTTAAGAAGAGAGCAGCGTGTCTTGATTTATAAGATGAATCATTGTCATCAGTTTGCTGATTTTGAAGACATTTTAATGATTACTAAATCACGGTGATTTTTACTTTCCACAGTAATGAGTTCACACAAAAAACTCCACTTTTCAGCTTTTATTGTAGTTCATGTAAGAATTATTAAACACAATCCAGGCTACATACTGAACTTAGAGGATAGAAAAGTATCGTCTATATTGATTGATTACTTTTGGAGAGTTAATATTGATCTGATACCAATACCAGCCTTGGAATTGATACTAATCAATATTTGGATCTAGCGAAACCCTTGGGGAGTGAAAATGGAGAGACTAAAGGTTAGGCTGAACCTGTTTGACCTCCACAATGCCAAAGGACACAGCCTTATGGATGATTTACAGGAGCAGATAGAAAACAACCAGATAAGGGTTGATTCATAAAGGATTGCCATGTGAGAGTCAATTAATCATTTGTGATATTCAGTTGTCACTATTACTGCTAGCTAAAAGCCATTTTCCTTTCCCCTGAAATCCAGGCTTTATCATTGTATCACAAATGGGAGCGCTGTGGCTGCGGTGATGCCGTCTCTCGTGGAGCTGCTCTCTGATCAGCTCAGAGGGCAGCAGCCTGCAGTAGGAGGCATAACTCAGCGTTTTACCTTGCAGTGAGTGCACTCGCTCATTCTACTTTTTGCACAGTGAATCACCACAACGAGCCCTTCAGAAATAATCCTGTCCTGTAATAGCAATGGACAGACGCCTACATGCACGCTCACGGTTCTTCCTCCCAATCCACTCTGCCTACTCGTAACACGCACGCACAAGCATGCAGAAACAGCCAGGTCTAGACTGACGGTAGAGAAGAAGCGCCCCTTAATGAAATCTCTAAAAATAACTCCACTCTCGTGTGTACACTTATGTGCAAGTGCATGGGCATCCACATACATGAATGCATGCGCACCCTTACATAAATGCAGCAAATGGAAGCGGCGAGGTTGAACAAATGGGCCCATTGAATGTAATTCTTTTTTCTTTTTTTCCCTTTAACCCTGCAAAAATAAAAGCCAGGTCGCCCCTTGCTGATGCTTTGTGGAGATTTAAGACTTCCCTTTTGGGCCTGAGTCAAAGAGCAGATCTGCCTCGGGTGAAGACAAACACACAGGATGGGATACAAGCAGCGTTGCTTTACAGAAAAAGAGGAAACGGCGTTCTCATCTGACTGGACTGGAAGATATGAATCTTGCATGTTTACGTCTTGGAGCAGTTGAGCCACTGGCTTTGTGCTGGGTGAGGTTACAGGATGACGGTGAATTATTGGGACTGGAAATAAAAAAACAGAAACACTTCACAAATATGATTTATCCCATTTTTTGTTTCCTTTCTCTCTCTTTTTCCTTTTCCTTTTTGATTCCACAGACTCTCAGCAGACTCTCTCCCAAAGATACAGACCAACACCGGTAGCTACAGGAAAAGCAGAGCGAGAGTGCACTGTATCTGAGGAGAGCTGTCAGAGTAAATCTGAGGCTGTAAAACGGAATGGTGCAGGCTGACTGCAGCTACGGAGACATGGAGGAGTCAAACTAAGGCAGGAAGGGGAAAACATAAAAGGACTGCTTCATAAATAGCACAGAGTATAAAGACTGCTGCTCCTCCTGCTGAAGAAGAAGATCTGGGCTTCAGCGCGTTCTGCATACCAGCACAACCAGGAAAGGGCTCAAAATACCGCCCATAAGCTCAGATGTAGAATGACTTCAAAAAGAGCCACAGACTGGATAGTATGCATATATGCAACCATCATGGTTTCTGTAGGTGTATATGGGAAGTGGGTGAGGGGGTGGGGGTCTGTTAACCTGCCTGGCAACCACCGGAATAAACACCCTCCTCCTCCTCTTGCCACGGTTATAAGCACCCTCATTTATCCTGTCCCCCACCCACCACACCAACACACTCCCCTCCTGCAGCCACTCACCCCGGTGGTGCATCAATCACATTTAACGAAAGCAGTATTTTATTTTATTTTTTTATCATTTCACCGGGTGCACCCGAATTGCTTATGTAGGGAAATACATGATGCTGTCGTTTCCATGACAACATCAACCTGGCCTGAATCCTGCCTTCAATGCGCTGGGTGGGTCCGGCGGTGACAAAGAAGGGGGTGGAGGGGGGTGGAAAGCGGAGAAGTCATTTCGATAATTCGCCATTTAACAATATGACATAAAAGCGCACAGTTAAAGGGCGCACGTATGGAAGGTGGGTGAAGGGGATGAGGCCGGGTGGGTGGGCACCCGGAGGAAAAACTGGCAATAAAATATGAGAAGATGCTGCATTTATTCAGTAAATGATCATTCCAGCGAGGTTATTGTGGAAATGCAGATGTAGCCCCGGAGAGGGCTCCGTGTCGCTGCGCAGCTGCCATGACGCGTCAAACAGCGCACGATACGGTGCTTACCTCATTTTCCTCCTCTTTTATTCAACCGGGGCTGATGGCACTGATGAGGCTGCTCAATACGTCCCGCTATTATTTCAGTATATACCCTCGTGTGAGGCTCGGAGCAGCCCGCCGGCCTCCACCTTGTGTCCTCTCTGCGCGTCTGTGGCGATATCACAGGCTGAGGATGGGTCGTGAAATGCTAAGCGACAACCCGAGCGTTTTCTTCCATCCGCTTTGTGCTCCGTTGTCTCTGCTCTCCGCACGCGCTGCTGCTTACGCCGCGTGTCCTTAAGTCCATGTTCAGTCGGTGCTCGCGCTCGGTAGAAGACGGTGAACCGTGGTCGTCAGCCGCCTCCTTCATGCCATATTTTCTTCCCATTCGGAGTGTTTTGGTGAGATGGACAGATTTTGGGGAAAATGCTAATACGGCGTGCAAAGGGAGAGGGGAGGGGGTGCGAGCTGACCGGCTCAATGCTGCCCACCTGCGGCCAAGACGCACACATGCAGGGAACTGACGCCCCCTAAGTACCCCACCCGTCAGAGTCTCAGCAGGCAAACAAGTAGTCTGGTCTAGCCCCCCTAATGTATGGAGGACCACATGAGCCAAAAATAAAGCTAACTAAACAAATGATTGTTAGTAAACACACACACACAAAACAATATTTATATTTATTTTGATTTGCTCGTGTATTTCTTTACCGTTTAATTAATCCTCTATTTATTCGTCTTCCAATTAGATTTTACATTCTATTTATTGATTTACACATCAGGGCTTGCAAAATCGCTAGCCCGATGTCCTGGAGCTAGCGATATCTCTGGTCGGACGACCACAATCTATCTCAGCCCTGCATCATTGCATTTATATGATTATTTTCTTAAAATATTTTTTTACTTTTTACATTTCTTTTATTAATTTCTATTGAATTTTTTTCCAACTATTTTATGAGGTCAGCTTTGTTCTTTCTAACTAACCTCAGGCTCTTAACAGAAATTACTCCCTCGAATAGTTGCTATAGAGAACTGAGGTGCTTGGCTGGTGTGGTGCAAAATAATTGTCTTAATGTACTACTACCAAGTTTACTACCAAGTCATCAGGTCATATGTTAGTCAAGAGAATCCTCACTGGTAGTCTCTTCAATCACTCACAAGTTGAGAAAAACTTATGTGAGGTTCCGCTCACTTTGCATCCCCAGTGTTTATTTCTCCCGTAGTTGCCTGAAGTTATCACGCTGCTGTGAAGTGCTTCCAGTGTGGACACAGCATTAGATCCCTGAAGGTTCTTATCTATATCAGATCTTATGATATTGTCACGTTGTCTAGCAACCACCTTTCAGTGGGCTAAAGTGATCTGTTTTAAGAATTTATGCACGCACAATGCCTTATTAAAGCACACTGTCCTTTTTAATTTTACGACAGTGGCATCCTGTTTACCTCCACAAAACTTCAACCGTGCATTATGCATTATGATATCATGAGGTTGCTCAGCAACCACCTACCAATGGGCTACAATGAATGATTTTTTCCATTTCTATACATAGAAGACCTTAAAAGGGATTGTCTCATTTTCTTTTCGTGACCTATAGCAAAACACAACAAAGAATACTGGAGCTTGGACATGCACCAGTTACATTTATATTAGCATTGAATTTATTATCCAATTATTAATTATTAATTTATGTATTAATTATTTTATGTTGCATT